TTTCCCTTTTTCGTCTCTCTTCCTCTGCCCTTTCTTTGTCCCTCACTCTTCCTCGTCCTCCTCCGCCTTGGCCTTGTCCTGCCTGGTGGCCCCGGGGCCCGCTGTCTTGTTCTCTTTTTTCCACTTCATGCGGCGGTTCTGGAACCAGATCTTGATCTGTCTTTCGGTGAGGCAGAGCGCGTGCGCGATCTCGATGCGCCGCCGCCGCGTCAGGTAGCGATTGTAGTGAAACTCCTTCTCCAGCTCCAGGGTCTGATAGCGGGTATAGGTCTGGCGACCTCGCTTGCGGTCGGTCCCTGCGCAGGTTATTTGCAGGAGAAAAATCAGTGAGTGAGGAACGAGCCATGAGAGTGCTCACCTCCCTCTTGGACCCTGTATGCGGTTTGGCATCGGTGGTTGGAAGAGCTTATTTCCCATTACATCAAATTATCACTATCCATACCCCAGCCTATGCCTGCCATCTTTCCTCAACGTGCAGACCTTTCTACAGGCCTCCCAAGGCAAACACTCCCATCTCCCACCCAGGAAGTCTTCTAGCCTAGGGCTTCTGAACACAAGGTCTAACCTGCTGGCTCTTGAAGGCCCTGTGCCTAAAGGGGTGTATGTGGGATGAAAGGCAGTTAATCCTCCGGGACCAGGAACCCCGAGTCTCCCCTTTTGCATGCTGACTCTGATGGTCTTTGGGGGTACAGGACAACAGAAACCATGCAAGCGACCCTGGAGTGGGACTCTAGGCCTGGCCTGAGGGCTTTTCCCAAAAAGAAAAGGAGACAAAGAGCCTCACAGGTCCAGTCTCCCCCGTCCCCCAGCCTGTTGTGGAATGAGGAGGAGGTGAGAATTTGCAGATTTCCTTGGAGCGTGGAGTCAGTTGGAGAGCAACTGCCTTCTGATGATTATTTTCCAGTGAGTGGCTGAGGTTCAGACAGGGCCAGGCTGTCCTGCTTGCCCGCCTGCCCACCTGCCCAGACAACCTAGCCCTCCAAAGCAATCTTTGGGCCTCCAGGAAGGCACAGAGGGAGAGGAGAGACAGCAGCCTGGGTTGGGGTAGAACATTCAGTATCTGGCTGGTGGGGGCTGAAGGGCAGGGAAGAGCTTCCCAGGTTAGGCCCCAAACCCTGAGGAGGCTTGGGGGAGGTGCTGGTGCCAGCCCTCCTAGGAAGGAGACAGTGGAAGGAGGGGCTAGGGGCCCTGATTTCAAGTCAGATAAAAGCAAGCTGAAATGTTTATGAGCAGAAAAATTGGGGCTTTAATAAATCAGCTGGAAAGGCAGTTGAATTATGAAGCAGGTAATGGGGACCGTGACCACTAATACTGAAAGTGTAAGAGCTGGGCTCTCCTGGCCCTCAACCCTGGCTGGATTGGGAGCTTCCAACCACAAGTCTTGGGTCTTCTGGACCTTGAGATTGGCCTCTGAGTCCAGGACAACATTATGAAGGTTGTCTGGGACAGGCTTGTCAGGAGACCCCACGGAGCCCCTGGTCTCTTGGGGTTCCTGCAGCAGCTTCCTCGGTGGCCTGCACTCTTTCTTGATTTGGCTCTTTGGAGTCCTAGTGTCTCCCCCAAGAGGACATCCACCCTTCTGGAACGACACTTGCAGACTAGTTGGCCAGTTCTCCAGGGGTGCTAGGAAGGGCACCTGAGGAAGCCAGCTGTACTCCCCTGAGGCCTCTGCTCCTTTCTCTAGTTTCTCTAGTTCTCCTGCCTCCTGCTTCCCAAGTTTACTGGGGGTCAGGAGCATGCTCTCTTTTGGCCTCAGCCCCCCTCTCTCCACCTGCCTCTCTGGCTCTGTGTCCCTGGCTGAATCCTCATTACCTCTCACACCCCCACCTCCAGCCAGGCCTCTAGAGCCCACCTCTAACTGTCCAGAAGGGAATAATGGGGGAGCGGGGTTGGCTGGGAAGAAAGGGGGAGGGGAGAACTGCTCAGCGCTGCATCCCCCTCCCCTAGACCTTATCCAAGCTGGGGCTGGGGGACACACCCAGAGTTGAGATCCCCGGCTGGGGAAGGGAGAAGGGAGGGGGGAGATCCTAATGGCTATTCTCTGCAAACCCCAGTCTTCCTCCGCAAGACAAACGGCCTCCTCTCCAGCCCGTGCCGGCGCGGCTGATAAATATTTAAAGCTAAAAGGCCGGGAGGAAGGGTGGCGGGGTGGGCTGGGGGCTCAGAGCGCCGCGGCGTCGGCGGAGAGGGATCCGCTAGGGAAGCAGCGAGCGAGCCTGAGAGCACCAAGCAAAAACGGGAATGGGGGCGGCGCGCCGGGTCGCGGCTCGGGGTGGGGGGCCGCGTCCCCAGGGCCGACCTCCTACCAGGAGCACTCTGGACACGGAGAGGGGCACTTGGCCGGGAAGGGGGCGCCTTCCGGGGAATGTGCCCGGGCCACTGCGGCTCAGGACCGCTCGGGACTGCTCGGTGCGCGGCGTTACCTGAGCTTCGCATCCAAGGGTAGATCCGGAAGTTACTCTCGGCCGCCAAGTCCGAGTCCCTCTGCTCCTTGGCGCCCGCCGCCTTGGCAGAGTCGCCGGGACACACCCCGGAGAGGTTCTGCTCAAAGGGTGCGCAGTGCATGTTGAAGGAACTCGGCTCGAGCCCGTAGCCGGCCGCGTAGACGCCGGCTGCACTCTGGCCCGCCATGCCCCCCCCGCCGGGGTACAAGCCCTGCATCGAGGCGGCGAAGGAAGCGCCCGAACCCGCTCCATAGCCCGGGCGCTGGGGGTTGGAAGCAAACGCACAAGAAGTTTGTTCGGGGAAGGCTCCGGTAGCGAAAACCGAACTTGCGGCTGGATATTTAGAAAATAAAGCATTCGCATAATACAATGAACTCATAATTTGGCCGGATGATTTGTAGGCAGGGACGTTTTAGTGTCGGTTTTACGAGATTCCTTGATATATTACAGAATTAGAGTCCAGATTTACACCAAAAAGGACCCCCTTTTTCCTCTCTGGACCACGTGACCCCGCCCACGTGACGTCCCCTCTGCCAATAGCCGGGCAGCCTCCCCACGGCTCCCGGTAATGTGGAAAAAATTGTGTGGCGTTGGATTTATAAAATATGATCAATAATGAATGAGAAAACCAGGCCCTGTGGATTAGCGCTGGGGGCTCAAGGGCCGCTGTCGACCCCCGTGGGCTGGAGGAGGCTTGCAGGCGAGATTTGGGGAAGAAGGGATTGAGTGTAAAGGAAAATAAATAACCTCCGAGAGCGATCCTTGTTGTCACCCCCTCCTCCCCAGCCCGTTACCCAGCCAGAAACAAACGCAGGGATTGCATACAACCGGGTGAGTGGGTGGGTGGGGGCAGGCCAGGTCTTTATTAATCCGGACCGCTTCAGCCTGCCTGGGCCTTTGGGGAAACTTAGTCCGGAATTGGTCCGTTTCTCCCGAAGTGAGGAGCGAGGTGAGCCTGGCCTCAAGGCTCGCTCTCTCTCTCTCTCTGCCCCAGACGGGCAGGGACGGAGTGAGGTTTCCTGGGTGCTCCCAGAGGCGCGGAATCCAGCCCACGGGCGTTGGATGCTGCGGTTTCTGGTGGCTAAAAAATAAAAAAAAGGTTTGAAAATTTAAAAAGGAAGGGGGTGGGGTGGGTGGGAAGAGAAAGGAAGGGAGGAGGGTGGCCTGGTATGCTGCTCTCCTGGTTCCCGGAGGCGGATGCCTCAGTCGAGCGTGGCTGCTGGAGAAGCAGAGGGAGCGAAGGAAGGCGGCGAGCCACCACCTCGGAGCTGGGCGAAGGTGGCCAAGTCCCAGAAAGGGAGAGGCAGGGAAGAGCATCTCGCTTCTCCTGCTCCCTCCCACGAGAGTACGAAAAAAATATTTTTTAAAAAAATTTTTCATTTTGTTCAGCAGCTCCGCACTGCACCTCTGTACACACACACACACACACACACACACACACACACACACACAGGAGAGG